AATATATTTAAAATACATTAATATTTTATTATTATTGTTAAATTATTATATTTTAAACTAATTTATTTCATTTTTTTATTTTATTGTTGTTTCTTTTTTTTATTACATGAGTGTTAAAATAAGAAAAAAATATATACATTTAAAATTAAGTAACTTGAGTTAAGAGTAAAACATAATCATTTAATCATTAATAACTATATTCATTTAGTTATGTGAATTAAAAAAATACCCCCAATACTGTCCTCACACAATTATTTTTTTTAATTAAAAAAAAAAAAAAAAAACAAAAATGCTTTATAGCACCTAGTAAAATTATGAATGATATTTTTTGTCAACCATACCAGCTCATTGTGTAACAAAATGTATGTCATGTAAAAGTTTGTTCTGGCGACAAAGTTCTGAAATAAACACGTGGGCATTAAGTTGTTTACAATATTTAATAAGGTTGGCTATAATTAAAAGCCGTAGTTTAAAAACATATTATACACGTTTTGGCCCGCAGCTTCGGTCGCAGTACGAGTAATAAGTATGTTTATTCATGCTACAAATATTTACTCTTCCAAATCCCACTTAAATATGTTCAGCTATTATAGCGTGGAGAAGAAACAAACATACAGACTCACTTACTAATAACATTAGTGTAAACTACTATTACTTACTTCACGGAAATGAAATATTTATAAATCTTCAGCCTGAAACCTACCAATTGATTGATTTGAAAACGTCTTTTCATTTTAAGAAAGGTTTGTATATTTATTGGCGGACGTTATATCATGATTATTTGTGTACACAAAAATAAACCAGACAAATGGAGCCGCGGACAAAAGCCAGTAAAACATATTTAACCGACTTCCAAAAAGAAGAAAATCAAAAGTTGCAATAAAAACATATTTTAGTGCAATTTTTCCTTTCGTAATTAACTTCAGGTTTTTGATTAAATTTTCATTTTAGACTAATTTAATCGGACTGACTATTATAATTGTAATATCATGTAATATGTGATATCAACAATATACTCATATTATAGGTATATTCATATATAATACTAGCGACTCACCCTCGCTTCGCTCGGGTTCGTCCCTAGCTTGCTTCCCAATATAAACTTTCATCATCATTTTTACCCCCTTAAGGGGTGATTTCCGGGATAAAAAGTATCCTTTGTCCTTTCCAGGGTCTCAAACTATCTTCTACCAAATTTGATCTAAATAAAATAATAAAAAGTCACAAACTCACAAACTTTACCTCTTTTTAATATATTTATGTATATGTATATATATATATATATCAACGATAAAAGCCATCGAGTATCTTCATTGCTCGAACATTCAGGTATACCGTGTATTAAATCAATTTTGTTATCTAATGAAATATAAGACTTAACATTATAGAAATAAGGTGTATATTAGCACGATTTACTTGTATGTATTGGAAAATGTTCTTGTCATTATCGACAAATTAAAGGAGTCTCTTAATGAATATTCATACATAATCATAATGGTTAACTCAATCATGTTGTTTTGTGAACCAAAGTGATCGAATGCTTTGTAAAATTAGTAGTAGCTTTCAGTATCACGTCTTTGATTAAAATATATTTAAACTTAATAACTTTAAATGTATAACGGTTAGTATGGGATAGATAGACTATATATTATACATAATATATTGATATATAGCCTATATCCTTCCAGCCCTATATTTTTCAAATTGGATTAGTTGTTACTGAGATCAGCGCGTTCAAACAAAGAAACAACATAAAACAAACAAATTCTGTCTCTATATATATTATTAGTAGGTATAGATTAAAAAAGAGAAAATTGCTTTATGTATCTACACACGATTTCTAATTGTGTAAATAAAATAATGGGTTCCGTCACATTGTGCCGCCACACTATGCCTGAGGTACATCCCTCGCAGAACAGACGTTCGTTGGGGACGAAAAGTTCTCGAGTGGCGGCCACGTACCGGAAGACGAAGCGTAGTCATACCTCCCACAAAGTGGACCAACGCTTGGACAAAGTCGTTGGTGCCCACAGGATACGGATGGCACAATACCGGTTGTCGTGTAAATTTTTGGGGGAGGCCTGTGGCCTGCAGTGGACATGTCTGGGCTGAGACAACAAAATAAAATAATATAATACCATTCTCTAACATTGCAATAGCCTGAAGATGATCACGTCATTCCTAAGATATGTAAAATTATTTATGATCGAGTTTATCTTTTGCTAAATCCTTTATTGTAATACCTTTAGCAAATATTTGTTATTTGTTTCTGAATGACTTTAAGAAACAAGGAGCAATTTTGATGTTTGATTGTTTGTGTGTATATTATACGATATCTTTAAAAATGCTGAACCGATTTTAATTATAATTTTTGTGATGAACAGGCTGTATCTCAAGGGAGGTTCGATATGAATTTCAAGAAAATGTTTCAACCCTAACGTTGTAAAATTGTATTTAAAGTGATTTTGAAATCGATGTGCCTTTAGTTAACAAATAGTTTCTTTAAATTATTCAATTTTATATTGTAACGTAAAATAATTTGGTATTGCCTACAATATGAATATAAATATGTATTTTAACAAAAATAAAAACGAATAGAAAAAAATCCTTTTTTAGTCGATTAAAAAAATAGGTTTTAAGAATTTACAAAAAAAGTTGCGGGGCAAAGGTTTATCTACAATATAATATTACTAAATTATAACGTTTAAATTAATTACATATAATGATTTAAAAATTAAATTTTAGTACAAAGTTATTTTTAACTGATAAACTATTTTTGTTAATCTTAGAATTCTAATATTAATAGGTTTAAAATTAGTTATTTACGATATGTGCAAGAAGAATTTGTTATGATTTCTGATTATATTACACTAGCATGCAACCAATTACATAGATAGCCTAGAAATATGATATGCGAGTCTATAAATATACGTGCACAAATCTATTTAAGAAGTCACATCTAGATATAAGTTTAAAACGTTTTTATATAACTTACTTAAAACATCTTATTTATACAAAATTCTTAATATATACATTATAATACTATACAGATTATACATTTTTTTATATTAAATGATCCTTGGACGGTAGCAATTGTCACTGCTTTAAGGATCGTGCATTTGAAATACTGGACAAGCAAGTTTGTTGTTTTTAAGAAACACTATATATATTTTTTATATTAGGTCATTTAATGCCCAAAATATGATCATAAAATGAGGCGAGTAGACAAAGACGTATGTATCTTTAGATTTATTCAACCAGTAGCTTTGACAATTAATTATTTTTTTTTGAATCCGCTGAAAATCCAAGTACTTCTGAGATTTTCATGTGACCATATTCTATATTTAATTACCATTTGCTAATACGGATAAATAAAACATCGTGAGGAAACCTGCATATTTTATATAACCTATCTAGTTCTCTAAAATATGAAGTCTGTTAGCCCACATTTAGCCTCGTCGTTCTTACTTTGAGACGACCCCTGTGTCCAGCGTGAGATGTTAGAAGTAAATAAATTATTTTTTTAATAATTATTAAAAATATAAAATTCTCCCAAAATTCCATCAATTTGCTCTCTAATAATGCACGTTTAATAGAAAGAGACAAGACATTTAAAAATTGTTGATATGGTTTCTATTTCATCCTAAACATCTCAAAAATAAATATTTCACGAAATATTTATCGTAGCTCGAATTGATACACAATTTTATTATTATATACATAAATGTACGTAAAAATAGCTGTATACATAAAGTGAAACATACAATATTTCTGAACCAAAATTTGCTGTATAACAATTTTATGCACTAAGTGTGAAATAAAGTCAAAATTTGCATACTTAATTTAAATTTTCACATTATTCAGGCAGTTTGTTACAAGTAACAATTTCGTCAAAGTAAACATGTAGAAAGGTCGTTCAAACTTCATGGCAGTAAAGTTCTAAGTGTTTACACTACGCCCACTAACCTAATTAACTGCTGCGTTTTAATTATATAGATCCAGCTCTAGGAAATTAGATTTTAAATAGACTAATAATATTATGTGTTATTTTAAACACGTTGGGTTATATATCTGCGTTGTCTACGACATAGACTACAGGTTCGATGCATGTACTAACAATATAATAAGATACGCGAAAAAAAGGTGATTAATAATTATACACATGGAACATACACATATACATCGAAATCGAATACGATATACGATTATGATGAGATCCGAATATGTACTTCGGTAATATGTACATCAGATACGAATCAAACTATCAAATACAACTTGCTCGATTGTAATTTGATGGTGAACTCGTTCTTATGCTTTCGCTTGAACTTCTCATTAAAGACAAATAACTATAAAACATTAAAAAAATATTACTTTTGATTTTGCTTTGATTTTTGTTTTCTCAGAATAATTTAATAATACGTGTGCAGAATCTTTTTCAACTATTTCTTATGTTTTTAGAATAAATTTAATATGAATAAGAAATCATATAGCTGTGCTTGAATAATTATATAATAAAAAATCAGTAGGTACCTATATTTCAAAGACTTGAATTAACAAAAAAAATATCATTAAGTTCTGCTTGTGAAAGTAAATGATATCTGCATCTTACAAAATTTGTCTCCTCTATCCAGTATATAATTATGGTACATTAAAAATTATTAAATAATATTAGCAAAAATTAAGTAAGTATACAAATTTCGACCTTATTGTTGTGCATATTTGTTTAAATACAACATTAATATTAAAACATATTTCATTAAAACCATTTCGCTTATTTTTGTCAGTTTCCACACGAATTGTCCTAGAAAATATATATTGAAATTTTAAATGACCTCAATTTGATTTTAACGTCACTTTGGCTTGTTTAAGTCTAATATTCTCGTCAAGCAGAAATACGCTCGTCAAGACTTGTGACGACAATTTATTAATATTAATTTTGTTCCCAGAAAATTCTTGCGTTATCCAGCCTTTCTAACGATTATTTCATTCTAAATAGGTCACCTCACATCTCCGTGCCATGTACTGAAGATGAAGAGAAGTGATGTGAATAATAGACTCATGTAGCTGGTTGTTGTCTTCACACCACTTTGAAGCTCAGCGAGACTGGAACCTACGGAAAAAATGGATTGGTTAAATAATGAAGTATATAAATATATTATAATATATTTATATATATATACTACACACATATATATATATATATATATATATATATATATATACGTGTAGTATATATATAGTACAATTTCGTTGATAACAACAATCAGTCATAAAAATAATTTACTTATATTTAAATAGGTAAAGACAAACAGTTCAGTACTTCTTCTCCTCTGTTTGTAAACCGTTTTTCTTTTTCTTTTTGTTGTAGCTATTTGGGAGCTTTAGAGCGCCGTTGAAATACAAGTTCTTTGGCAAATATCGCAATTAATTTAAATAAATCAATAAATAAATAAGGCATTTTAGGCATATTACAATCATATACTTATAAAATATCATATACGGAAAGAATATAATACTATATATTTGTCAGACAATAATACTGGTTACCATGGCAACAGTTAGTCATAATAGCTTTTATTTAATTTATGCACAATCATCCCACAATAATAAATATCTATTTTTAGTATACATTTATAGTACCTAATAAGTTTTTTTACCGAGTTTAAAAGTTATTTCATATTTTATTTAACATAACATATTATTCAGCATTATTTTTCACTTCTGTGTAATGCATGCTATCTCATTCTCTCGCTTCCTTAATCCTATATAATATTATATATTAATGTGTTTGTCTCTTTCTTCATATTGTATGTTTCACATTCTGTTTCATCGAGTTTCAAATCACAACGATTCTAAAGAAGTTTAACTTCAAAAAATTGAATGACAAATTTTTGGTCTTTTTTTATAATGATTATGATCCAATTTCAATCACCAGACGAACACTATTAATGATAAATTGGACTACTATTATAAAATGCGTAAGTTTGTATGAGTGTATGTGTATGTTTCTTTTACCCCGTCATTTTGAAACAGCTGGGCTGATTTAGATGACATTTAGTATAGAAATAGAGTTTGAATTAGGAGTAGGGCATAGGCTAATATTAGAAATAAAGTTTGCCAAATATTACGCTGCCTGTACATAGGTACATAGAAAGGACTAAATATATACGATATATTACTTATCTACCATACTTTATCTTCTTCAATTCCAAAAGAACCAGAGCGGGACAAATATCTATTATATTTTATAAATATCCATCTCGTTCAGCCTCGTTACCCCACGTGACTTTCTACAATCGCTATCGCTAATAGAAATCAAAGAATATAGATATATCACTGACATCAAAAATTTTGTATGTACATTACGCAATATAATAATATTTTTATTAAATAAACGTAAAATTTAAAAGAGATTTTCAACAGCAAATTTGACATTAAAGGGTAATTTTGAAGTCGAATTGTATATTTATATCAAAATAAATATAAATAAATATGTTGAGACATTAACACACAGCACCATCTAGTTCCATGGTAAGCTACGAGGCCAGTGTTATGGATACCCAGATATAGGGATAGTTGATACATTACACAAATATGTAACTTTAAATACATACATTTTATAAATATAAACACTCATAACTGGAGTACAAATATTTGTGCTCATCACACAAATGAATGCCCTCAGCGGAACTCGAACCCGCGACCGTTGACACAGCAAGTAGGATCGCTACAAACTGAGCCAAATATACTGTCAAAAAGAAATTAATATTTAATATCAAATATCGAATCATTTGGTTTAGCCATAGCTAGAACCCATACCCTTTAAATACTATGTTAGTTACGTATTTAGCATATAGAAGTCGGTTCTAAAATCTTCTGAATTTACTAGTAGTTCTCTGTTGTTTTCCGGCTTTCTAATCTGCCTTACCATGTACAGCACATCCTGTGCATTCTGCCTTGTCATCCGGTCTATTGTGACTGTGAAAGGACTAGTTAAGCATTGTTTGCCTGCTCCTAATGACTGTCGGTCTGTCATTAGCTATTTTCGACACATATTTACTACTTGTGATTAGCTTTACTTATTTCTAAATGCATCTATTTAGCTAGCTATATACCCTCGTTTCGCTTGGGTCCCTAAACGACTTTTCTATTTATAGTTTTACAAGCGACTCACCCTAACTTTGCTCGGGTTCGTCCCTAGGTGCGTTTTAGTGGTTAGTATGGAAAAAATAGACTATATTATATATACATACGTATAATGAGTTGTTGTGAGTTGTATTATAACGTGTTTTCCCGCGGGAATGACATAATCTTCCGCGGTAAAAAGTTCTAGGTCACTCACTAGCCCACCAATTATCTCCATATAAAAAATCACGCCAATCCGTCACCCTATTTTTACGTGAAAGAAGGACAAACAAACACACTTTTACATCTATAATATTAGCATGGGTATGGATTACAAACAGAGCATGAATTACCCCAGGATGTAGTCTATCTGTTTAATAAAGTTCATTCAAACCCGGCAAGCTGTTTCAGAGTTACATATATACACACAAATTAAAACAAATTCACATACACTCACAAAGTTTTTGCTTTTATAAGCGTAGTGTACGTTTTGAGGAAAAGTATTTTGAATACAAAATTATTTTATATGTTACACTTCCGGGCTACAGATATATGTATGTAATTTTATCATACCAAGGAAGCTTTGCTAAGTTCAACTTAACTTCCGGTTGAAGATTTGCTCTCTATTCTCAAGCAATTTGTAATATTAGCTTTGAATAAAAATACTTCTAAGTCAAAAATGTATGTAACAATTTTAGTATAGCTTTTTATTTTAAAGGAAGTTGCGGATGTTTAAATTTATTTTTTATATACATAACGATTGGTTTGTACATATTATATATAAAAACCGACTTCAAACAAAAGCACTAAAAAGTAAAAAATAACTGATTGGTAGTTTTCATTTACTATACATACCTAATCAAATATATTCGAAGTCGGTGTGCTTTGCTTTATATAGCCTGGCACCGATTTCGAAAATATTTGATTAGGTATGTATTTAATAGGTAGGCTTTAATTACTTAGCCAAAGTTCAAAAATCAGTTATTTTTTACTTTTGAGTGCTTTTGTTTGAAGTCGGTTTTTATTTTTTTGTTAAAAAGTTTTTATTTTTCCCTTTTTAGTGTAGACAGTAGTAGCAAAGTAAGAATTCTAACGTGTTAGGCTTATCGAATCAAACAAAATAAGCCCAAACTCAAAGTATCTACTATTAGCCGTTGAAGAGTTCCACCTATCCACCTTCTGGCCTCTGGATCTACCATCAGATCAGGTCAATAATACCGAACCACTGTACTATGAACGGAAATAGAAACACTTGCAAAGTTTCAAGTCAATATGACAATTAGAAGTAGGTTAAATCCATCATTAGCTATTTTTCCACCCTTAGGGGTGGTATTTTTTTTTGAAATTTGAATGGGACCAATCTGGAAGTATACCTTTCAAACAAAACAAAAATTGTCCAAATCGGTTAATAAATGACGAAGTTCTGAGGTAACAAACATAAAAAAAAAATACAGTCGAATTGAGAACCTCCTCCTTTTTGAAGTCGGTTGAAAATTGAAATTACAATATTATTATATAATTGATAATATCTACACTAATGTTTCATAAACTTGAATAGTTTGTTTTTTTTTATTCGAATGCGCTAAATTCTGGAACAACCAGTCGGATTTGCATTTTTTTTGCTTTTCATAGCCCAATCCTTGAGGCTATCTAACATCATGCTATAACTTTTAGGATCAAAACTATTATATCTATACATAAATAGAATACGCGAGCGGAGCCACGAGAAAAGCTGGTAGCAAATATAAATATAATACGATGAGTGGTAGTAGGTAACTTTTTTAGACATTCTTGAAATTAATTTATTATTTACTAAATATAGCCAATCTTCTGCAATAATATATGAGTCCCACTTTATATAAAAAAGCGTATACTCGTAGATGGCAAAATTCAACTTAACGACTAATTTTGAAACAAAACAAATTTTTGGGATTTTTTCCACGGATTTTTTTATTTTGAGTTTTCAATGCTATACTTTCACAATTTAAGATTTTTTTTATTATTTATACGAAAAATTTAATCAAATATTGACAATCTAAAAAGATATTTGAATGTTTTGAAATATAAACGGTTAGAGATTATTATGATTTATGAGTAAGACTTCCTAACTTTAGTAACTTTCATAGAAGTCGCTGGATACTCGAGAACCCTACATTTACATGGCTTTAAATTTTGCGGAGTTTGCCTTTATATTAAATTTCGACATGACAGCCCGTTATATTTTAAGGGGAGTATAAATTATCGTGATTTTGTAATAGAAAGCTATTCAAAGATTTATCTATAAAATATATATTTATTTTTGTATTTAGTTAAAGCAACCGTTATATAGAGGTAATAATTATAAAATATACTATAATGTTGATAAAAAAGTCAGTGGTCTGAGATTATATGTATATCTATGCTAAAGATAGCGGGTTTGATTCTAGTTTAGAGTAAACATATAATAAAGAGATCTAATATAGGCAGGCAGTGGTAGCCCAGTGGTAACGCGCTCGCTTGTAAAACCGAGTGATGCGGGTTCAAATCCCGGGTCTCGCACCTCTGATATTTTCATGTGCGAATCATTTCTAACATGATGACCACTTGCCTTACGGTGAAGGAAAACATCGTGAGGAAACCTGCATGTCTGAGAGAACCCAGCAAGTTTTCGAAAGACATGTGAAGTCCGCCAACCCGCACTTGGCCAGCGTGGTGGACTATGGCCTGATCCCCCTCGTATTGAAGGGAGGCCCGTGCCCAGCAGTGGGACGTTAAAAAGGGCTGAATACAAAGAGATCTAATAAATAACATTTAATAAATATCAACAAATTACTCGACCTTCTATAATATTATAAATATTATTTATTATTATATATAATACTTTATTAGATTTACACGAATTTTTTGTGGATTTATTTTGATTTTTGATTGAGAGACTATAATTTTAGACATCTCAAAAACATCAAAAAATCTATATATATAATATATAATACATTATATATAGCT